ACAGCTTCCTCCAGCAGCTCCATGCTCAGGGTTCAGTGAGGAAGAGGCTGCCCTATGCGACTGAGGGATTCGCTGCTCCAGGGGCACTCAGGTGCATTCTCTAAGCCTCAGACTCCTCACAAAGCACGGGCAAGAATCAATGAATCAATGCTGAGAACACCAAAGTCACGCTGCAGATGACTGGTGGGAGGAGGACTCAAACTCAGAACTCCTGAACCCTGCACTCTGCCCTTTCTGCTGCCTCACTTGGTCCCTAAGGAACGGCTGGCTCCCCCATGGCCATCTGGCCATGAGGTCTTTTCTTCCCACTGGCTTTATTGGTATAGTAGAAAGAAAACTTCCAATCTTCATTCTGCATTGCTCACTCCATAACCTTGAACACATCAACTTTTTTTAAACATAGGTTGGCAGCCAAAGGAAACAAAACATATTTTTAAAATAAAGTGAGTAAACTAAAAATAGAAAAGCAAGGCCATGGTTTACTAATAAGTAACAATACTACAAAAATATTCAAATTCTCATTTAATTTATAATCTAATTTCTGAAAATATATTCTAAGAACTTACTCCAAAGGAAGAAAATATTTCATGCACAAAAAATGACCATTAGGGTATTATCTGTAAACTACAGAAAAAAAAACAAAACAACCAAAGTGCTCTATGCTGAGAACATGGCTAACTAAATTATGAAATATTTAGCTATTTAAAATGACATTCATCAAGACTTGGCAACAACATGAAAAATCCTGGTATAATGTAAGAGAAAAAGCAGGTTATGAAATTATAATATATTATGATTCCAACTATGTAAAGATAGGTAGAGTTCTCCAAAAAAATATAAAACATTTGTGAAAACTAATAGTCTATCAAGATAATTGGTTATAGATGATTGTTTTCCAAACTTTCAATAGCTATTAAATAATTTTTTACTTTATTTTTAAAAAGTAAATATTATGAAAATAAAATTAAATGTAATAGCCATAAGACCTAACATAGTAAATATATATTACCATTAAATCTGGCTTTGAATTCCATGGATAATAATAACAAAAATAAACAATTTCTTGTTTAATTAGCTTGTTAACCTATATGGTTCCATGTAAAGATCACAAAGAGAGACAGAAACTAAAGTTGGGGTGTAGGGGCACACTCCACTTTTCTGTCAAGATGGGGACAGAAACAGCTCTCTGATGATGGTGGCCTTTACACACCGTCACCACACAAGGCTGCCCGCCTTATGCAAGGGTACAGATTCAGGTGGCACCCTCCAACAACCCTGAAGCAATAAGTTTTTCAGGGCACACACGCTAAGCAAGAGAAATCTGTATCCCATTTCAGGTCTAGGAATCAGAAGTTGAACCTGAACCCAATCCTGTCATTTCTCAGGTCTCAGCTACCCCATCAGTACAAAGGGGCATGTGTTAGTATCGCTCACCCAACGAGCAGGTCAGCCCCTCCTAGCCAAGAAGCCCCTCTCTTCCAGCCAATCCTGTTCCCACATTCGTGCCAAAGTGGTCATCTCAAAATCCAATTAAATCATGTCACCACATTACTATGCTGCTTCGAATAATCTATTTGCTTCCTTTTGCTCTTAGGATAAAGCCCAATTGTCCCTGCACAGTCCTCACTGCCCTGCAAGGTCTGGCCCTCCCACCACTCTCCACCGCAAATTCCACAGGGCCCTCACAAGAGCCTGTGAGCCCTTTGCCTTTGCCGGTGCTGCTCCCTCTGCCTGGGGATCTCTCTCCTCTCTGCCTTTCCCCAGCACACCTCAGCTCAGTCAGAACTTCCCCAGAGCACCTAGCAGGCCTGTCTGATAAAAGCTCACATTTCATAACTTCATATCTTTATTCCTCAGGCTTCTTACAGCAATTGTAATTTTACAATATTTCTGTGATTCTGCAACTAATGTCTCTGTTATGTCCCCCAACCTACTAAAATGCAGCCTCCATGAATTCAAGGGCTTTTTTTTTAGTCTCCCCAGTTGCTAGCCCATGACAGCCTTGAGAAATCTTTGCTGAATGACTGAATGAATATTATCCGTCCTCTCCTACCCCCAGACTACCACAGAGCCATGTAACTAGCAGATGCTCAATGAATCCAGCAGACTTGAATTGACTGCAAACATAACAATAAATATGACATTTAGATCCTTTTCCCCCACCAAAAAAAAGGTATTATGCCAGATCAACTAATAAAGAAAGTCAATGCAAAAGAATATTTTATAAATTCTAAATTACAGTATAAATATAAGGATCCACCTCCACCCTTTTTAGAAACAGTGACAGCATAAATATGTACAGAAGATACACAATACAGAGTGTAATTGTTACTGGCAAACTACAGAGCAAATTAGTAAGTTAAATTCTCTGGAAGGATTTAAACACAGTCAAATCCCATTGAAATATGGCTTTTTTTTTTTTAAACCAAGGTTTGGATAACTATAGAGTAGACCTGTCTGGGTCTCAGTTTCTTCATCACTAATGAAAGGATCCAGGAAAAGTCTTTAACACCCCTCAAACTCTGAGATTCTGAGGTCATGGCAACTAACAGCATAACAATGAAAATCAAGAAAGTCCACACATGCATGATGCAAAGCAAGTCTGGTCCATGGGCACTGACCAGCCCTCAGTAAAACCCTGAGGAAGCCCAAGTTTGTCTCCCTGGTCTATGCTCCTTCTCCCTCTGGAGGTACCTCCCTCCTCACCTCTGCCTCTCTTTGCTTTCTGAGTAACTGGCAGCAGGGTTAATTTAAGTCCATGTGCTCCTTTTCCCTCGAGCATTTGCCTTTGGATCATCTTTCTCAATGTGGTGAACGTTGTTTCCTGACCTTAGGAGAGAAGATTTCAGGCATGAACGAACTGTTGGAAGAAGTGTTTACAGACCAGGGACCCTGTCTGCCAGCAAAGCCTGCTTCCTTCCTCGACTTCTAAATGAGATCAGCACCTCTTAGGCCAAAGGGCAGGTGAGGGAAGAAGCTAAGAGAAGATGCAAAGCCCCAACTCAAATATTACCTCTTCTGACCTTGTTCAAATTCATTCATGCATATGATCACAAAAGTCCATATGGCCAAAATCTCTTGCAAAACTAAGGCACAAAAATACACTCTTGTAATATTAGAAACTATTTGTTATTAATTAACTCAAATTGACATTGCAACATAAATCATTTCTTGGTCACTTTAAACAATAAAATCATCTTCTGGGTATACAATTTATTAAAATTATTTTACATAAACTATTTCAAGCATTAACATGTAGGGCTGTCAAACCTCTGCAAAATGTACACTTACACTTAGCAAAATGTAAATGTAAAAAAGTACAGCTACATAAATAAAATCATCAATTACTTAAATACTTCATAATATCTTCTTGACAATTATATTATCCATTAAACAAGCAATAATTATGCTATAATTAAATAATAATATGCTGTAATATAGTATATTCAGTACATATAGTATATATTGCATTATCTTGACAACTAGTATCTTAAATAACTATTTTTTCAGCATTTGGGAAAATTGAAAGAAAAAGTAGATAAAACAAAGAATTAGTCAAAATAAAGCACAAATTTTAACTGATTTGTAATAATTTTGCTACAAAAGACTTCATCTTTTCAACTTTTAAATTCTAAACTATTATTTTATAATTCTGTGTTTATGAAACTTCTCCTAATTTCAGAATGAATTGTGTATACTAGAAATCATATCCTAAATATAAGATTTTAAATAGATACCTAAAAGTTTAAATGTAATGCAAAACAAGTTCATACTTCTAAAAACACGTAGCATTTTGATAGCACTCAATGAAAAGCAATGTCATTTCCAGCTCCTGAACTCCATCAATTGATACACTGTCTTCTATACAAGCGCAGTGTGAGCTCACTATACTACACTTAATTTATTTTATTATGATTAGACTTATTCATTTTTTAGGACTGATTATGCTATAGAGAGGGGAGAAAGAGTGTTCTGAATGAGATTTCTTTTTATAAAACAAGAGTTTAACTCATTAAATTCTCTATTTTGGGGGAAGAGGTAAATTTGTTGTTTTTATAATTGTTTAATTAAACCATATTTTTAAAAAATTCTGAGAGTTAAGAACTTCCTAAATCATTCAGCATTTTAGCTATGAAGTTGACAAAACTGTACCAAATGATATGCAATTTCCTTATTTTGTAGGATGAATTGTTTGGATTATAATTATAAAGTTCCTCAACCCACACTTTCTTCTATTGACTCAAGAATATCTCCTTCAGTTTATTTGTATTTGACAGACCACACAGTGTTTTTTACCCCAACATTAGTGTTCCACAAAAGTTTTAACGGTAGTTAGCGACTTTCATTCAGTGCTCTTTTCAGCATCTTACAGTAACGGGCGGGCGGATGAGAAGGAAAGGGAAGTAAAGCTTTGACAGATGGTACTCAGCGTTTGGCTCCTGCTGAGCTCAGCAGGACCTGTGGTTTCCAAGGTTAGGGCTGTCAAAATGGCTCTGTCTATCAAGTGAATAACAAAGTGTAGACTGCCTGTCTGTTTCCTATACAAAACTTAGATTTCATGTGCCATCACTGTCGGGCTTTCTGCTGATTTAATAACTTCCAAGGAGAGGAACTGAGGGTTCTGATGCAGACTCACTATTTAAGAAACTACTTGGAAAGGGAATTCTCAAGGGCTGAAAGAGGTAGGCTCAGATCTCATTTCTTTCTCTTCGGTTACTCTCTAAGATTTCACAGCTTGAAAAGAATTCAAAAGCCACCAAAGGTTCACTTTTGGCTAAAAGCTAAATGTGAAACTTTCAACATGAACTTAATGATGACTCCTTCTCAAAAGGGCAAAATGTTGTTATTAAGAATCCTCTGGGTGGTTATTCAACTAGAAATACTGACAATGAAAAGGAAAGTGTTTCTATTTGAAATACATTGATGTGTTAGAGCTTGTTTTCCCCCTTTCATAGCTCTTAATATTAACACCGCCTCCTCTCTTTCTTCACCTGCGTCAGAAGTCTTCAGATGATCAGAGAAGTGTCTGATACTGGAGAGAAAACTGAATTATGTCACCAAAATTTGCCTTTTGCCTTGTGCAGTTACAGCCATTTTTCTTGGTAAGTCTGCTTGTTTTTTTTTTATGCACATTTTGTGATTTCAAGATTGTGATTGACCTCCTGGGATTCTAATAAAAGGCCTAGTGGTGGATTTATAAACTCAGACTTTTTATTAATATGATGCTAAAATTAGGATGGTGGCAATGCCCCTAAATAAACTACTAATGATATTTCAATGTTTAACTTGTAATATAACATTTAAAGCAAAAACTCCTGATTATTATGTCAAAAAGACACAGTAAAATTAAGATGTGGCCATTTGAAAGGGAAAGAGTTGGCCACACTTTAAGCTTATCCTGTTACTAAGCACATTCGTTGCAATTTTGGACAAGCTGATATAAGTACACATCTTGTCTCTTTTTTGATGCTGGCATGAGAAGATACATCCACTCATGTGGTGATCATTCCCTGCAACATGCCAAGGGAAGACGTGTTTGCTGCCCCCTTTCTTCAGCTATCATTCCCACTAAATCTGAAGAATTTTCCTCTTCGAATACTTAGTTTATATAAGCCCCTTGGTGATAATGGAAAGGTTATTTGAAAGGATGACTATTTGTTATTCTTCCCAGTATATTTAGTTACTTTGAAGGTTTTTTTTTAGTTTTGAAGTATTTACCTTCTTTTAAAACTTTAAAAAATTTCAACCTAGATGTCTCCTCTCTGAGACACTACATAGCAGGTATTCAGTAAATGTTACTAAATTGAAATAAATAGGATATTAAATGTTTAAAAAGAAGAATTCTAAAATTGAAATAAAAGGGCACAACTTTTACATCAGATTATTATAAGAAATTATCAAATGCCAGTTTAGCATAAACCCTTTTCTAGTGTGCATTTTATCTTGGAAATGTGTAATGCTTTTAATCATCTCTGTAGACAATAATGATAATTAAACAGATATCTGAAAAAAGAAAAGTCCTAAATCAAGATCAAATTTTCTTTTTTCATTCTCTACCTCTCAGCTTGCTTTGTTCCATAAGGAAGTTTCTAACCTTCTTTCCAAAAGGCTATCCTATCTCCCCAAAGGAGTTTTTGTTAATAGTAGACTTGTTGAATTATATTTGCTTTTCATGTGTTTGCATTTTTTGAAGTCTCTGTGGGGTTTCTTCATGTGTCTCTGGGGAAACTATGTTTGTATAATTTCACTTGAATTTATAAACAATAAGGCCCTGAAAATTAAGTCCATGCTTGGCAGAAAGTCAGCAATCTTAGAGAAAGGAAACAGAACTAAAACAGATATGATGTTTGAGAACTGTTATCATACCCTTGCCCACCCATCAAAACCATTTTGGTTCTAACCCACAGCGCTGGCCCACAACTCTAGGGCCAAGAAGTCAAAATGTGCAGGGTTAATTAAGGTAACTGAAATGCTCTAATTACACTAGACCCTTCAGTTATTTCTTTTCACTTTTAAAAGTTTTTAATTGTGGTAAAATACACATAACCTAAAATTTACCATCTAAACCCTTTTAAATATGCAGGTCAGTTGTGTTAAGTACATTCCTATCATTGTACAGCCAATCTCCAAAACTCTTTTCATCTTGCAAAACTGAAAGTTTTCAAAAACCCCCCATTGTCCCCCTCCCCAACCCCTGTCAGCCACCATTCTACTTCTGTCTCTTTGAATTGGACCACCCTAGCTATCTCATACAGGTGAAATCATGCAGTAGTTGCTTTTTTGTGACAGCTTATTTCACTCAGCATAATGTCCTCAAGGTTTTTCCATGTTGCAATATGTGTCAGAATTTTCTTCTTTTCAAGGCTAAATAGTATTCCAATATATGTACATGCTGCATGTTACTTATCTACGCATCCACAGATGGACACTTGGGTTGCTCCCACCTTTTGGCAATTGTAAATAATGCTGCTATGAACCAACTTCAGCTGTTTTAAAATGTAATTGTTGCATGTTATAGACTAAATGAAGACTGCAGCACATGATGAATAAAAAATAGCATAAAATTACAATAATAAAAACAATAGCCAATGTTTATCCAGTGCTCATGCTCACTATGTGCCAGGCACCAAGCCATGCCCGTCATTGGTATTAACTCTTTGAGAGATGTACCATTGTTATCCGTATTCCAAAGAAGTGAAAACTGCAGCACAGGGCGGTTGGTTAACTAGTCCAAGGTCACTCAGCTAGCAAGTCACTGAGATGCAAATCTGAGAAACCGGAGGCAAGAGTCTGCCCCCTTGGCCTAGGAAAGAAATCACAGCCAAGTCGTGCAGAACTCCTTGACCACTGAAAATGGTGTGGCCTGGCCGAAAGGGCACTCGGGTACGAGCCAGAAAAAACATTTCTATCACCAGCACCTAACAAACAGACACTCTGGGCTCAGTGCTGTGAAAAGGAAGGTTGAACTGGGTGTCCTGTGATCTGTGGTTCCAACAACCCTCCATTTCAAATGAGACTCATATGTAATACTCTATTACTTGGAGTATTATTTTACCTACAAGTAGATAAGGATGTAATTTTATATTTTTAAACATGTGCTCAAGTCTCTAAGTTTTGATAATGAGTAGTTTTCTGATTCTCATTCCACTGTATCCACGTTGTTCCTTGTACCTCTCTCATGAAACTAAAAAGTAAGAATACAGTGACAGGGTACCAACAGAAATTATGAGGTTTCTCTTGCAGAGGGTCCCTAGGTGTGTCTACCCCAACAAAAGCAAAGTAGAGAACTGTGAACAGCATTCATTTGATACATATCCATCTAATGAGGGTCATATAATCGCCAACAGCCTGCCACTGAGGGGAGAATCTGAATGAATCCATGTTTCCCTCTTCATGGTCAAAATTTATGACTTCATCATGTCTCTAAAAGAAAGACTGTAGTATCCTCACCACCATAGTTTTATTGGCTCTTTTGGTTCTATGGTTATGAATTTAGGTTATAGATTCTTCTGTATTCATTTGCAGAGCACAACCCTAATTCTTGCTGTAGTGATTAAATTGGACCCAAGGAAACAAGGGAAAGAAATCTCTCAAAGAAAAAAATTGGAGCCTTTGAAAAATTCTAAGGTCCTAAAAAAGGGCACCTGAATGCCAATAATCTAATTTATAAAAAGTAGGTGCATGTTTGGAAACTCACAAAGAACACTTACTAGAAAAGGCCTTGCAAATCAGACTCAGGAGAAGTCTTGAGTTGTTGGAATTCAGTGCAAACCGAGAAACAAATCCTTACTTAGCCAAAGTCCATGCATTTCAGATACAGTTCAGATGAGCAATCAAGCAGATCTGCATTTTTTAAGTGACATCTCCAGGTAAAACACAATACTAACTTTTAAAAAGTGTTGTCATTTACTCACAGCCAGCATTTACAACAGGGTTGATGATTTTATTTTAAACAAAGTTATTACAACAGAAGCATCCTCCATATTCCAATTCATGAGTTGCTATTCGACAGACAGTAAACTTAGACACTAAATCTAGCTTCAGCCAACCTAGAGAATTCTGTGATACCCACTGACTACATCTTGCATCTGTGGTTTCAGAAGGTGCAAATTCTTTAAACCAGACAGAAGAGGGAGCTATCCATCTGGAAATTAACTGATCCTTTCAAATATGTGTCAAATAAATACAGAAGAAAATTCTAATATGACCTTAAGTCTTGTCTTGTTCGGTCTTGTATTTTATAGCAACACTATAAATTTTTTGGTGCATAAAAACAAAAAAAAAACTACCAGCAAAGACAAAAACATTAAACTAAATTAAAAAGAGGAAAAATATACAAAACATTAAAAGACCAACTAAAAAGACTCATATTTTGTGATTTGATCTCATGTTTTATAGCAAAATATAGAGCCAAAACACATTCCCAAAAAGGCCACAATAATATTCTTCTGCCATACATTTCACTACTATTTTCTTGTTATATCTCCTGATCATGAATGGAGCTCTCACTTTAAAATTGATAACATCTGGAAATAATGGCAAAATTGAAAAACGGTTGGGCTGCATCTGTCTTGAAAATGCTATGTAATAAGATTTACTTAATATATTTGAAAGGGAAAAATGTTTTGTTCCCCAATTTGTTGCAACATCTGAAAGTTCATGAGGTTATGACCCCTCTTTAAGAAATCATCTCCCACCACCTGCAAACACCCCAGGAAAAGCAGTTGGAAACAATAAAACACGTGCTAGTTAGCTGTTACCAAGGAAACGGTTCTGGTTCACCAATCTGAGCGCCTGCGCTTCCACAGCCTTTGTCCGAGGGAGACATACGCCAGCTGTTAGTGAATAGCCATTGTTATAGATCATCAGGAAATCACAGTCAGCAGGCAACCCAGCCCCACTGGAAATTTATTTCTCATATTTGTTCATCACCAGGGCAATCCTGTATCTTTAAAACATCCCCCTTAGGCTGGGTTAACTGAATAACACCCTATACCAGCAGGAGCATTTAAAGGAGGCCAGTTGCAAAATGGTCTTTTTGTGCAGCAAACAGGAATCTAACTTGGATTCCAATTGCATCACCCTCCTGTTCCGTTCACTTTCCACTGGGATTACAGAGCAAATATCTGAAGTCAGTACCCCTTGCTTTGATTGGCCATTTGCACACAGCTCCCCCTCCCTCGCCCCAAGAGCTTTCAGAGATCATTGGTTTGCCCCATGTTAATGGACTGTACAGAGGCAACCTGGAGCTGAGGGGATGAAACTCTGGGTCTTTGCCTCACCAACACACATACTTCAACCAACAGCACCACTTTTACCAATTTTATATTTTATGTTCTTTTATAATTTATAAATTCATAGATTTTTCTTTGAAACAAGATGGCATTGCCTTTTTAAAGTTTAAAAGGCAATGAGCTGCACATCCATCCAGTCATCAGACTCATCTTGATAGATTTCTAGACTTACGGTTTCCCAAGTGGCACATAAGGAGCTTACAGGTCACTATTGCATCTTAACAATAAGTAATAAGATGAATAAACTGAAAACTCATCTTGGATTCATCAGAGAAATGAGTGCACGGGATAAGATACCACCCCCAAAT